TCTTCTTCTTCTTCTTCTTCTTCTTCTTCTTCTTCTTCTTCTTCTTCTTCCTGTGCGTTTGCCGACATGCCGTGTCCTGACAAGTTTATATCATCCCAAAAGTAGTCAGTTTCAGGGCTTTTTGATAAAATTGGTGTTTGTTTCGCTTGTTCACTTTTTAAATTTTAATCAGTTTTGTTTAGGCCTGCTCTTTAACTTCTGGGACAATTTGTTTTTAARAGGTCCTGCCATTTGGTACTTCCTAGCTTCCTGTGTACAGCAAAGATATAGGTTTGACAAATGATTCAATTCCAAACGTAGGTTTGGTAAGGGAAACGCATGCTTAAAGTAAAATTAATGGTCTTAATTATTTCTTTTTTTCCTTTAAGCTGGTATCAATCAAAATGGCGACCATGTTCGAAAACATGTGGCAAAGGAGTCCAGATACGAGAAATTGTCTGTCGCAAAAAAATGGCGCCTGGAAGGTTCGAAACAGTTTCTGATTCAGAATGTGACATTGACAAAAGACCCAAAGGTCTTGAAGAGCAGGACTGCAATATGGTTGCCTGTCCAGCGGAGTGGGTACCAACCAAGTGGTCAAAGGTATATTTAGCAATTAGTCTTTGAACCTGAATGGGCTATTGACTCAAGCATAGGCCATGAGGGCGAGAGGAGTAATTGTTTTAGTCAAATCCAACTTGTCGGTCAAATATATAGATGCAAACAAGTTATGAATTAAAGATAAACTCAATGTTTTGATTTTCAAAGCCCACACTTATCGCTGCTAGTAGGCCATAACTTGTAGCCTAGTAGTAGCTTATCCAATCAGAACGCAGTATTGATGATACGGACCACTTATTACCTAATAAAGACATTATCTTATCAGCACTTACTTTGTTCCAGTGTTCTGCTTCGTGCGGTCCTAAGGGTATCACCACACGATCTCTCAAATGTAAAAGGCTGGATGAAAATGGCGCGTACATATCTGTTGCCGACCGACTGTGCCGACACTCGATTCAACCACCAACTGAAGAAGGTTGCAACAATGATATAACTTGTCCATGTGAGTAATATATCCACAATAAATACTTATAAATACAAAAATTGTATAGTGAGAACATGGTTGTGCGTAATGAAATATCTTTTGTTTACTCCAACCAAAATGGGACTTGATTATAGCAATTTCCCTGACCATAACTCTTAAATTTTCATGAAAGTCTTGTTTTCAAGTTGGTGTATTCATCATGGAATCATTGATTTGTTATATAATTTTGTTCCAATGAAGTGACGCTGAGCAGTCCGGATGGCAAGAAGTTTGTACCACTCGGCTGCTACAGAGACTACCGTGGTTACCACGCTCTGCCCGAGATGGTCGCTAACCTAAGACCTGAAATCAACTGGTATCGTCTAGAAAAAACAGTCAAGGAATGCGCAGAGAAAGTCAGTCAAAAGAATTCAACGTACAAGGTATTTGGGGTGCAGTTTTACGGCGAGTGTTGGTCTGGAGACAAAGCTGACTCAACCTATGGTGAATATGGCGGGTCCAAAAATTGCTGGAAAGGCGTTGGTGGAAGCAATGCTAACTATGTGTACACTTTCGTCTAAAGTGAGGTCACCTCATGGTAAGAAAAATTAAGAAGACAGTCGCGTACATGTCTTCCATTCAACGAATCGATGTGATGAGCCCAAGACCTAGGGGAAAGGAAGGTGGATCGTTTTCTAAGCGTGTATAATAAATTTCAGAAACTGTTTCATTTGAGAATCTGTAAGAAATAGAAGTGCATGTTCGCGTGCATATGTCTCCGTGGGATAATGTGACGAGCCCAAGACCTAGGGGAAAGGAGGGYGGATCGTTTTCTAAGCGTCTATGAAATTCAGAATCTGTTTCATTTAATAACCTGTAAGACTGAATAGAATAAGTCTGTTCACGTGCATGTCTCCCACTTGTATTTTRCTTAACACTCATGTCATTTCCTAGTGTGATCAGTGATGACACCAAGACCTAGGGGAAAGGAGGGTGGGACGTTTTCTAAGCGTTTATAAAGTTCCAGAATCTGTTTCATTTCAGAATCTGTTTGAGAAACAATCACTGTTGTACTCCCCTTACCGCGAAGAAAACATCAAAGACCATAATCAACATTGTTGGACTCACTACGAATATGCATTTGATTTGATTTTAGATTTTTTACTGTTTTATTGGTGGTAGTAATTTTTTTGGGGAGAGAATAGTCATGTATCTAGGAGAAGTTACCCTGAATGATGTCATAAATAAAGTGAATGATCAAAAGCCATAACGCTTTCTTGACACTTCCTCGAACGTCTTAGTCGATTGCACTTTTCACATGCAAACTAAATATATCGCCACTAAGAATGAATGTTTAATTTCTGCTTTTGATGAAGTGTTGTTACATACGAATTCCCTTGCGCATTATACTGCTTTCTTTGCTTGGTATATACGTGAATGCAATTGGTGGCGTGCATCCCTTCTRAAGATGCCGGACTAAAGATGTGGTCGCCATTCATCAAAATTACAGAAACCACCAAGACCCAATATTTCGTGAACGTCAACCAAAATGGCGGCTTTGACGTCACATACACCCCAAGAATATGGACCTGTCCTTAGAAAATCGCATCGAAATATACTTTAATTTTTACCATCGTCGCACGAAATACTAAGGCATGTTTTCCAATTTATCCCTTTTGAATCCTTAATTTTGATGTCAGGGTTACAGGGTTACAAGGGACACAAGTGATGGACTCTTTTTTTCCTTGCCACAACTCTATAAGAAGTTGACCAACGTTCCTATTTGAACTTCAGAAAGATCTCTCATGCCAAGAAGACAATACTTTGTACAAACATATTTAATAAAACTATTTTCTCATCACTACAAACAAATGAATCTCAACGTTTTGATGCAACTTATTGGCATACATGTGTTATTGTTAATCTCGGTAAGAGATTACTACGATTTCAATATTTTTTAGTATTTTGGGTTTTTTTTTCTTGGCCCATTGGCTACAATGGATTTGGAATATAAATATCCAAATTTTCAAATATGCGATTAGTATTCAATAAATCTAGGTGTAATGAATACAATACTGGGAATTGCTGAGCGACAGAGTTAGTCCGTTTCCCCTTATGCACTGGCATGCGAAATCATTCATAAATAAAATGAAATAAATTCTAGCGTGTAGCATACAAGTGAATTCACAAATAGAAAAATGCTCATACTATAGGTTTAACCTCTCTAACGGGTGTGATTGTTTATCACTTCCCAACAGTAATGGGTAATCTATTAAGCAAGCTTAAATGCAGTAATTGATAAGGTTTTTTTTTTGGTCGACAGAGGGAACGCTGTTATTGATTGCTGATTTGAAGTTGGGAGAAAGAAACTGCAATGAACCTATGGACTAAAATGTACTGAAGTACAACAAGATTGACAACAATATTTCGAAAAAATAACATAATAAGATAATAAAATAATTAAGACAAATCGTGTATCTGTTTGAGAATACGACGTAATGAGAAATGTCCAAAGGTTCTTGCATTGTCTGTCCCCTCCACGCTTTCTTTTTTTTAAATCTTGAGTCATAAATGATTTCCACCATATCCTAGACTATGGATAGATGTATAACATTGTTTTCAAATTCTATATAGTCCATAGAATTATATTGTCCTTCTGTAGCTCGCTTGACTTAATATGGCACACTTACTTAGGAGTATAGTGTGGTGTAGTAGGCGAGTACTCAGGAGAAGGCGATGGTCCTCCTGAAGATGGGCTATACTTTGGTGAGCTCGGGCTGTACCGGCTCGACATGGGCGTATAGCTTGGCGATGTAGGAGAGTAGTTTGGAGAAGTTGGACTGTATTTAGGCGAGGTTGGGGAATATTCTGGTGAGGTAGGTGTATACCTCGGTGACGTTGGTGAGTATCTTGGCGATGAGGGTGAATATGAAGGTGATGAAGGGGAATAAGTTGGTGATTGAGGGGTATATGATGGCGATGTTGGCGAGTACTTGGGAGATGATGGCGAATAGGAGGGAGAAGTTGGTGAATAAGTTGGTGAGGTTGGGCTGTACTTTGGTGAAGTTGGAGAATAACTTGGAGAAGTTGGCGAGTACTTGGGGGAGGAAGGGGAATATGATGGAGAAGTTGGAGAATATGATGGAGATTGAGGAGAATAGCTCGGAGAAGTGGGAGAATAGGATGGTGAAGATGGAGAATAAGAAGGGGAAGTGGGGGAATAAGATGGAGATGTAGGAGAATATGATGGAGAGGTTGGACTGTAGCTTGGAGAGGTAGGGGAGTAAGAAGGAGAAGTAGGGGAATAAGATGGTGATGTTGGAGAATAAGAAGGGGAAGTTGGCGAATATGATGGTGATGTAGGGGAATATGATGGAGAGGTAGGGGAATATGACGGGGAGGTTGGCGAATATGAGGGTGACGAGGGACTATATGATGGTGAAGTAGGGGAATACGATGGTGAAGTAGGTGAATAGGAAGGCGAGGTTGGTGAATAACTTGGACTTGCTGGTGAATATCCAGTAGAAGGTGAAGATGGTGAATATCCTGGTGATGTTGGAGAATATGAGGGACTTGCAGGTGACATTGATGGAGAACTTGGCATAAAAGCTGGGCTTGCTGGTGAATAACCCGGACTAGCTCCAGCTGCAGGGCTTGGAATGTATGGACTTGAAGGTCCAGGTGAGGAGGGTGACTGTGGATTTGGACTCCACAAGGGACTAAATCCTCCTGGACTCATTCCACCAGCCTCTGATCCAGCTGGTGAGAAGCTTGCTGCTCCTGGGGTCATGCCACTACCCATACCAGGGCTCCATGCCTCTGGATATGCAGGAGTTGCTACATTCCATGGAGTGGTTGGTGGTGACATTCCACTTGGCGAACCAGCCGCACCAAAGAACATACCAGAACCTGAAGAACAAATGAAAGTTAAACCATGGGTATATATTGAAATAATAACAATAGAAATCCCCAAAGAAGAAAAGAAAAATTGAGTGCTGAACTTTTCAGTCATACGAAAACTGCTCTACCAATTAAGTAGCGCATTTCTAAATATACACTTGAAGTGTTTAAGTCCTTTCAGTCCTACCTGCTAAAGGTCCTCCCATGCCAGGTCCCATGATGTTAGTAGCAATCTCCATGCCATGTTTACACTTTTCAGCGTCCAGCATGAGGTCAAAGCATCCTGTTCCTACTCTTGGCAGCTTGCCTAAGATAATACACTCACTGACCCCACGAAGATGATCTGTCTCAGCATGAGCTGCTGCGTCCAGGAGAACATCAACCTGTTCAACAAATGTACATGTTAAAACCCTATCCACGATTCTACAGCCCCGACAACTCGAGACGCGGCACGCTTTCGTACGTGGCACTCTCCAACAAATTTGCAAAAGTCTCAGTAGTCAAGTCATATATGAAATAATCCAAAAACCAATATGCGTACAAAGCTACGACTAAAACTATGAAGCATAGTCATTATCACTAACTACAATCACAGTTATTGCTGGCTTTCAATCATAACGAAGAGAATAAAATAACAAAAGACACGGCGGCCATGCTGGATGATATAGCAACAGAGACTAAAGACGAATGGCTGTGAAAACCTTGATATGGATTTTCAACTTCATGATTCATCAAACGTCATCAATAACCATCAATAATTCCAAGAGCAGTGTTATTTACCGTTTCCTCAAAGGAACTTCTCATCAAGCACCCCACGTCTTGTCTGTTTATTCCATGTCTTGTTATAGCCATCAAATGACCTCTACAAGTCATGATGTCACACAACAACGCCAAGTGACGATAATTGACGTATGAACCATCGAAAGAGATGACGTGGTCCATTTCACGTTCGACAGATTTTCGTACAGCCTCAATACCAAGCACCTATAGTTATTAAAAGAAAAGAGTTTAGTAAGGGATACATGTGCGAGTCTCTATTTCATATGGAGTCATTCAGAGTACAAAAAAGGGGTGATCAGTCAAGCACTGAATCTTTTTTCCGCGGGGAGAAGAGGGGTAAAATAGAAGAACATATATGAAAAATAAAATAAAAACGCCAGCTTACCGTGAAAATTTCACAGATATCGTTGGATGTAGTACGTACAGGATCTACATCTCTTTCACTAAGAACCTTGAATCAGAAAAAAAATGATATGAGTTACGGACGTTAATACCCGATAAATATGTCTAAAACAAGCGTGGTTTCCAAGAGAAAGTATACCTTTCCAGACCGTGGTTATGGTAGGAGAGAAGAGATACGTCAAAGACTTCAACCTAAATAACTTCTTCTTCTAAACTACACCTTTTCCACGACATTTTCTGGAGGTTGGATTATACTTACTCGTAATAAACTGACTCCATCTGTCTCTAGAATCCATTCCTGAATAGCTTTAAACTCGCCCTGCTCAGTGATGACTATTCGTTTTTTCTTGTCCTCGTGAGGAAGGTTCATGTATACCTTGGAGATGGATTCTATACCTTGTAGAGTCATGTCAGTTAACATGTTCTGCTCGATACATCGAAGGAACACATCATCATCCATCTTGTCCACATCTTCATCCTACACAAACATGATAAAAATATATACAGCTTTTATTTCAACATGGGTAAACATACATGCAAGTATATGTACAGTAGCAGGCGAAAATATAAGGTAATCCATGCATGAATGTCGGTGAAATATCTGACAACAGTGTACGACAAGTATCAATGTTTCACATAACTTTAAGGGAATGAAAGGAGACAACGCATATTCCACCCAAGAAGCATCATGGGTGTTTTATTCATAATGGATTGGAGCCTATGTTAAAGCACCGTATTTTCTCTACTAATGCTCCACCTTTAATGAGCCCCCCTCGCTTTCTAAAAACCTCAGTCTGAGGCGCCAAAAATTAAATAAGCCCCCACCCCTAAGGAGTGTTGTGATCCTTTATCCATTGGCAATTTTACAATAACTGACAAACTTCTCGCGCGCTGATTGGTTAATTTTTATCATCAATAAGAGGACAGACAGATAAAGCTGACCTCAACGAGCGCGCGCTCTTTCCGTTAGTTGTTTTGATCAGTAAAAATGAGAAGTTTTTATCGTTTTTGTTATTGTAAAAAACAAATTGACATCAGATTTTTATGTGTCTGTCCTCTTATTGACAATAAATTTGGCCATCACATTGTCAAAGTAGTATGCGGATACACTACTTTGACAATGTGATGACGCAATTTATTGTCAATAAGAGGACAGACACATAAAAATCTGATGTCAATTTGTTAAACCCTTGAAAATCATTTCACATGTCGAGACTATGGATAAAAGTAATTATGAAAATTAAGCACCCAGCCCCCGGGGAAAATACAGAACTATAAAGAGATTTTTTTTACTTACATCCTGCATCTTTTCTACATCGTTGTTCATAATCCTAATTCTCAACACGAGCTTCTCAGCGTTATCGTCATTGAAGATACAGTTCAAATCATCACCAAAGCCTAGATTGATCTTCTCTGAAATCTGCTCCATCGTTAGCTTCTTGTCAGTCATTCTCTTACGATCAAGCTCAATACGCAGCAGCCAGGGTGAGATACGAGACACGTCAAAGTCAGGCATCTCGTAGTAGACATTCACGAAATCTTGATCTTCTACTATGACTGTGTTTTGGGGATCTGGATCATAATAGATGGCTGTGTTGGCTGTTACCTTACGTAACGTCGTGTGCTCTAGTCGGCAAAGCACAGACTGGAAAATACAAAATTACACACAGCAGGGTTAATATTTTGAAATGGCATTAGAGAACTATGAAAGACAATGCTTGTGAATATGAAATAATTTTAATCGAGTCAAGCACAAGCGTAGCCAAGTGGACCCGCTGATAGTCAATTCACGCTTATCAGTGTCTACCTTAGCCATTTCTGCATCTCTTGCTGCTTGGCCAATCAAGAAGACAGTAAGAGATGGTGTCTTTGGTCTCTTGGAGACGTTGATGATTTCCTTTAGACGTGGTACACCCAAGGTTACGTTCTTAGCTGATACACCAGCGTAATGGAAAGTGTTGAGTGTCATCTGTGTGGCAGGTTCACCAAGAGACTGCGCAGCTAATGCACCAACCATCTCTCCTGGTTTACCCTAGTGATATATGTATTGAAACATGGTCAGTGATCATCAGTAAAAACGAGCCCTTTGATCTAGATTACTAATTAGATTACTGACWGCAACGTATTTAAAGTACACCAAGGTAGTAGACACTATGAGGCTAGCGAGGCAATTGCCTCCGTTTAGCGTTGCAAATGCCCTTCGAAACTCTGGAAATCACATTTCCGAGGGTCTCCATCTTAAAAAAATGTCCGGGATGCATTACTATACAAAAAGATTTGCACACACAAGTAGCTTTTTCTATCAGTTACATGCGAAAATCTTCCTAGTAATCTAAACAAAATTCCGCCAAATATATCTTCAAATAAATACAAGACCCGTGAATAGCATCGCTAACTTACAAAGGCGTGGTTGAACCTTGTTTCGATCTCGCCAAGAAGCCATTCATATGCTTCTGATGTCAAATGGAATTCCTCTGCCACACGCTTAGTACACAACGTGGATCGAAGCAGAATGTTGAAGAGAAGGGTGGCATTGAACTGGGCCTGTTTACTTATATGATCTTCTCCTGATACCACGATTAACTTCTTGGAAAGATCACGAACTCCTACAAATTGACAGCGGAAAGATTAAGGAACAATGTTAGCATTGCCATGAGCGATATCCATTATATTAAATGATGTATCGAGAACTGGAAACGACCGTCGATCCCCAAGCCCCACTGGTGCACGTACAATACGGTTATACTAGAAAAAGTTTACCTAGCTGCAAGAAATTATAGGCAATGAAAGACTCTTGTTTCTACATTTTGCAACTGCTGCATTCTAATGCACTTTTTAACTTATTCTGTAATCGTTTTAGTAACAAAGGAGGTGTAGCGAAACGAAGTAAACTCGCCTCTCACCTCCGTTACCATGGCATAGAAAAGCCCAGAGGATTCGATAAACTTCAAGGTCTAACGTCATTAAACAAGAGCCTATTAAATCAATATGCTCTAATACCTTCAATAACCCTTAGTGGATGAAGATCACTAGGTGATCTGCTGTTGATTCTGAACGTCTTCTGTGCATTCCAGATGAGGCGACTCAGATTTACTGGAAGAGCGACCTTGGCGTTTCCTGTTGGAAAGATTCTGCGTAGTAGATCTCTGTCTTCTTGTAGCTGGTTGAACTCGCCTTCAACTTCTTGCAAAACATTAGCGCTACTGCAGATCTCTCTTACCACGTCCTCTTGCAAATATCGTCGCAATCGCCTGAAGTGAACATAAGAGAAACTCATGAATGTAAGCACCTTTGAGTATATACATAGACACAGCTAAGCAAGATCAAAAGCAAAGCGCACTCAAGAAATCACACTTAAAGTTCTCTATCTTATTCTTTCGCCTTCACCTTTTTCTCGAGACGCTGTTTTTTTTTTTTTTTGTTTTTTTTGTTTTGGCTTCATTTAATCAAAATATTTCATATCCAAACTTTATCAATTTGATGGACAAGGGCAAAACACAGGCTGCCTCTCGATTCATCTGGGACACAAAAACGTGTAACGCGGTCTGGATGAAAAAAAAATCATATGTTTATCTGTTAAATCCTCGTTAAGTTATTATTATTGTTGTTGTTAACAAACCTTTCGTTGCCTGGTTCAAAGTGAAACTTCTTCTCAAAGGCAACAGTAGATGGTCTCATAGTAGCAATGTTCTGGAATTCAATGGCTGTACCATCCATACCATCTTCACCATACCTCAACTGGATCAACTGGTTGTTAGAGTTTCTAATGGTGCCATCATAGGCGATGGACAGCCCTTCCATGGCTTTGATTAGACGACGCTGGATATATCCTTATGATGAAATAGCAAATGGAGTTAGACGCAAATAACTTGAAAATTATATCCTGCTTTTACTACATATTATGTACATGTAGCATGACATATTTATTTAGTGTAATGTAACGTCATAATACTAGAAACCTTTCACCAGTATTTGATTATCTTAAAAATCTATAGTCAAAAAACCGTTAAAGGCGCAAACACACGGTGCAACATTGCGCGCAACATTGCAGGCAATGTTGCTGAAGTACGATAGTTTTCTACTTCATCAACGTTGCGTGTATGTCATGGCTCGCAATATCAATTGCATGTAGCATTGCGGCCAATATTGCACCGTGTGTCTGTAGCTTTAAATTCTAGGAAAGAACCAACAAACCACTACCGTGATATGCCGACAAGGAGCTCCAGGAAACAGAGCTGGTCACAGTAACAGTTGTAATAGGCATGTCGGTTACCTGTCCTTGAAATTTTTTTTGTCCTAAAAAAGTGCTCGATTCCAAATGCATCTTACCAGTTTCACTAGTCTTGACAGCTGTATCAATAAGACCTTCACGACCTCCCATAGCGTGAAAGAAAAACTCAGTTGGTGTTAGTCCTGCGAGGTAGGAGTTTTCAACAAACCCTCTGCTCTCAGGACCATAATCATCCTTGATAAAGTGAGGTAAAGTACGGTGACGAAAACCAAATGGTATTCGCTTTCCCTCTACGTTTTGTTGTCCTACCACAGCAATGACCTGGGATAACAGAAACACATATTGAAATATATGATCACGATCTAGATGAATGGGAATTTGTAGGAAAATAAACATGAATTTTGTGAGAACTTTTACTCTCTTCCAAGCCATGGATGTATAAAACAATTGACAGAAAGTAAAACATGATTTCTTTAGTCTGTAAGCAAGTCATATTTTTGTCACTACTGTACATCAACATCATCATTAATTATCATCATCATCATCACCACCACCATCATTGTCATGAACACCATTACCAGTATTGCCCCTATCAACATCATCACCACCATTATCACTATCATGTTTACCATCACCAGCATTATTGTCTCTATTATCATCATCACCACAACCATCATTGTCATGAACACCATTACCAGTATTGCCCCTATCAACATCATCACCACCATCATCACTGTCATGTTTACCATCACCAGCATTGTCTCTATCATCATCACCACCATCCTATCAATCGCTCTATTATTGCATTTAATTTTATCCAAACAATATAGCCAAACAAGAAGTAGATCTACAAACTAAAGAAGAGAGTGAAGACAGTACAGTGATGTATAAGGGATAAAAGCGGTTGTAATAAGATATACACTACTGTAATATGTTTGGCCCTTACCTATGGGGATACTACAGGGCCCCTATGGATATCAGCCTAGTTGCTGAAAGGGCTACCCTGTTGAAATAAAGTCTTTATTACCTGAGATATGTTGATTTTTGAGCCTTTGGATCCAGCAACCACCATAGCTTTAAAGTTATTAAACTCTGACAAGCTCTTCTGAGCACTGCTACCAGTCTTGTCACGACAGTCATTCAGAATACGATTGACTTGGTTTTCAAATGTCTGCCGTAGAGTATTACCAGGGGTAGGCTCTAACTCATCGTTGTGTGCCTTTTCAATGACCTCTATCACCTCTTTCTACAGGAGTCAAGTGAATAAAAACCCATTACTGGTGATCATCCTCACATTCTCATAATCACAATGCATGGTGTTGTTTTTCATTGCAGATTATTTTTATCATTAGATATGCTATCATCATTACAAACCTTGGCCTTTCGAGTTGCTTTCTGAATCTCATCATAAGTATCAGAGTCAGCAATACAGTCCCCAATGCCAATGCTATGGCCCTCAAGGAGCAGCCAGTTATTTACAACACACTGGACTGTACCATAAAATGAACGACCCACTTCATGTCCAAGCTCCATGGCTATGACGTGAATCAAACTGCCAGACGATGTACCAAGGGTTTTTTTGCATAGAATACCAGAGATCAGTTCACCGTGCTCAATAACGACCTGGCATTTAAGAAATAAAGAAGACGGTTATGAAAAGCGAAGACTATATTTTATATGACTGTATGTGGGAATGCATTAGAAACCAACTTTTTTTAAATTCAATGAGCCAGAGTTTAAGTCAGTCAAACTACACTAAATATATGGATTGGAATTTGGGATACTACAGTATATTGCATGAATTGTGAAGGTATAGCAGTATTTGATTCACAAAACTACATGTAGGGTTTGAAACTGAGGAAATTTTGTGTTATCAACATGAATTTTAGCATCCAAAACAGGAGAGACACTCAACCAGACAAGGACATACCAGACAAGGAGTAATACTACTAGAAAGATACAACCAATATTTTGAAAAGTAGCTTGCTGTAGATTTTAAGGAGCAAATTGGTGTCACCTTTGTGTCTCCTGGGGAGATGTGCTTGTAAGGTCCAGAGTCTTCATCATCAGGATGTGTACTGTGTAATCTAATGACGTTGACTTGCCCTGGGATGAACATACTACAGATTTGTTTACCAGTCCATAATGGTTTAGGCTTCAGAATGCATGGTTGAGGAATCTTGCCATTCCAATCAGGAATCCATAGCAGAAGATTCATCACAGTTTCCTATTTATGAAAATAAATAGATAAGATCAAAATAATGATAGACTTTAGTCATTCGCCAATCTATTTTATAGATAATCAGAGTGAGGATCATAGGATTATGACCTAGTTTTTACCACACAAAATCATTTAATAGACCCTTTTAGTTTGGCAATAATATAATCCCAGATTATTCATTTGATTCATATTATTCATGATATAGTCCCCTTGCATTGGTGTCAGTAAGTGGTCGGCCAGTATGGTTAGTTACCTTTTCTAGGAATACATCTCTTTTGGTGAATTTTCTGATTGCAGTAAGAGAATCCTGTACAATACCCATGACAGGCTTATTGGACTGTGGTGTAACAATGTTTCTTGGTACCATCATTATCTCTGATATTTCGGCCTTGGCTTCCAGTGATTGAGGTACATGCATGTTCATCTCATCGCCATCAAAGTCAGCATTGTATGGAGTTGTTACACTAAGAATAAACAATAGAAAATTTTATAATTAGATTTATAATATCAGCACTRAGCTTTACTAAAATATGGATAGATCCCCCACCTACTGAATTACTCCAGGTTTGGCATACAGAAGACTTCACCACAAAAATTGCAATTCAAACTAGAGCTTATGCAATGTTCTGCAAACTCCGACATTTCGCTGGCTTGTTGTGAAATGGGTTTTTTGCTGCTGTCAATCAAAATGAGTTAATCTTCAAAAATTTATTACCCAGACTTGATCTACCAAAATAAAAACCCAATAGAAGACAATTGTTAAGATGTTCTATTTTTATGAAAGCTATGAAAACCATATTCACAACTAGCTGTTAAAATGTCTGAGCTTGCAAAATATTAAAAATTCCATTAACATTTTTTGCACTGTGCAATTGAACAAGTTTTTTTTATCTTTATGTTCTGTTCAAATAATACAAAGGGTGTCCAAAATAATTGAAGATTAATGACTAAAGAGCACCTAACTTGTATCTTGCCTTCTCTCAACAAGACCTGGAGAGAATGAAGAATGAAGGAACTTGATRTAGAAGTTTCACTTACCTGAGATTAAGTCTGAATGTTGACCATGGTAGGATCTTAATACGATGTCCCATCATAGACATTTTGTGTAGTGTGGGCTGTCGATTGAATATGATGATATCATCATCTCTGATGTGTCGCTCAACCTGAAATAAACAAGGCAATGTTAGGCTCCTTCTTTGTGTACCTCGCAGGTTACTAACGGTAATTCAATAGAAACAACCAAAGACCCCAAGTTATAAAATAGAACAAAGCTAACAAAGAATACAATCAGTATATGGTACATGCAGAAATGCCCTTATGTCAAATAACCAAGATAACCAAGATAACCAAGGCCAACAGAACAATACTCTACAAGATTCTACTATTAGATACAGAACAGTTTACCTTGTAACCAAACTGAAGATGAAGATCACTAGGTTTGGGGTGAAACCTCAGATCAACTCTCTCTCCATTATCTCTGATGATGTATTTTGCACCTGGGTACTGGTTGTTTCCTCGTCTGACCAGATCTTGCATGCTATAGAAAGCAAGATCATCACAATCATTTGTATTCTCTTACAATATTATTAACTGAAGTTGCTTTGGGAGGTATCGAAAGTTCTTAGATACTTAAATCTAAGCACAAGTCTACAAGTCTGTTCCACCTGTCCAGTCAATTGGGACTCATCCTCAAGTGCAGATCCGGGGGGGGGGGGGGGAGTAATTGTAACTCATATCCTTACCTGTCAATGTTAAAAGGTGTAACTATTTCTGGGAATGTTAGATTTTGTGCAATTGTTCTTGGAACACCCACTTGATCAATTGATAAATTAGGATCAGGTGTGATTACAGCACGTGAAGAGAAGTCCACACGTTTTCCCATCAGGTTTCCTCTGATACGACCTTCCTTGCTTTTCAATCGTTGCTTGACTGACTTCAGTGGGCGACCAGATTTTTGCATTGCCTGGTTTAAAAAGTGAAATTATCCACAATTAAAATGAATAGACTACAGCCATTGCAAGAAAAGTATTTCTTTCTAAATAAATATTTCTTTCTAGATTCCAATTACAATATTTAAATCTGAAATGTTTGGACCTAAATGAGATAGTTTGAGCTATAAAAGCCTGGTTTCCACTACCAATACAAGCACATAAGACCAAGCATAGAAATACATTAATTTCATAATAGCAGTTTAACACCAGAACAAGGATATCTTTTGTTTGTTTCACTTATACTTGTATCAGACTTGTTTTAATAGTAAAATAAGGCCTTCTTATGTTGGTGCTTATGCTTTGATCATGGTGGAAACCAGTCTTATAATTCCAATTCGTTTCCAATTCCTTTGTCTTGCTTACCCTAGGCAATCCAGGTATTTCGTTATCAATCAGTGTTGCAACATGGTACTGTAACATGCGTGTGTCTTCAGCTATGATGTGAGCTGCTGCTCCATTCAATTCATTCCTTTGCAAATTGTTATTTGCTTTGACAATGTCAGCCAGTTTGTGGGTCAAATCATCCTGTCAATTATACAACCAGAAAATTAATAAAATTAACTTGGAAAAAGATCAGCTTTTCGGATGTCAGATATCATTAGCTACACTCTATTGCCTTCAAACAATTGTTTCAAGTTAAGGCATTTGCTAAACATAGAAATACTAATGCAAGACTCTTATGAATTGAAGGCAAGAAGCACTGTAGAGTGCAAATAATATACCCATGAAATAGTGAGATAGCTAGCTAACTAATTACTAACTTTGTGCTATTGGTTGCCTAATTCTAATTAGTTAAAGAAATAGGTGAGTCGTGACGGGTAAACTAGTTTAAGTGTGCTACTCAAGGGCRCACATTCCTAAATATTTTGAAACACACTTACAAAAACTGAAACAATATTTTGATGTACATGCTTTTCCTTCATGTAATTTTACATGTATTAAGTTGTTACTCTAGTAAACTCCCATGCCCTTGTCATGCCTCACTGAATTCCTATGTCTTGTTAAGCGCTAACTATCTCATATTTCATCCTAACTATTTCACGGGTATATCATTTGCACTATATATCTTTTACTGGTCAAACTAGAGCATGACTAAACTAAGCTATTTTCCCACTTCACAAAACACACAAGAAAAGTTACCTGACTTCTTGCTGTTCCACTTAACACAATAGAGGGTCTTACAGGTAATGGAGGGACAGGAAGTACAGTGATGACCATCCAATCTGGCCGAGCAAACTTTGGATTCATACCAAGAATTTCACATTCTTCATCAGATATTCTCTTGAAGATTTCATGCACACGTTCAGCAGTAAGATTGATCTTCTTCTCGCTTGAGTCATCACCTATGTTGACACGTTTCCATTCAGCTGTAAGGTCCAATCCAGTCTTTCTGTATTTTGGTTGGTACCTTCCACACCCACCATGAGTCTATTTCGTTAAAAGATATGTAATATTATCATATAGTATACATGCAAATTACATCCTAAACATGTTCAGAAGAGCATTAAAATATTTCTGATATGTATGTAGTGACACTCCGACAGCTGTAAAAGAGAAAGAAGCTATCATTTACGACTTTTAATAATGTCACAAGGTAATCTTCCTCCTTACTCGTCATAGTGCTATGATAGCCACTATGAAATAGAATAGTTTTGGAGGGTAATAGAATTAGAGACACTGATTGTACTAGTTGATAAGTAGATGAAAAGGTTGCTTGCTACTATTCCAAATCAATAATATATATATTTTCCTTTCATAATATAGTTATGCATATTCATATTGTTATTACAACAGTTACAACAGTTTTTATTTCTACAAAAAATATATTCATACATAAATTGAATAAGTTACAAATTAATATTATATTATATCATTATTACATTAGTACTGTAGGTTCAAACTTGCTAGCCCCACTTCCTTATGTTTCGTTGTATTCATTCATATTTTCATACTTTGCTTCGACTTGTGTGGTGCCTTAAGGTCTGACAATAGTTTAAGATAACCAATATAACAACTTCGTTTTCCTTGGTTTGTTAGCAAATAAATATTAAATTATAAAATGTCCTTCTTTCATGAAACAATTCAGGTAAATAGACATATACAAGATACTTAATTTATAACTCAATTTATTATTTATTTATTATTTTGGTTAATTTTTTTAAAGTCAACATGCCTACTTGTTATTAGAGTGCAAACCATAAATTATATCTGTGAAATAGTACTTACTAATTATTAGTACAAAATAGCACCAATGAAACAATAATTGAAAACCAAAGAAATAGATGTGTTTAGTGCTATTTAGTTTTAGTACTATTTCGCAGATATATGGTTTGCACTCTAATAACTATTTCTTGTTAATGCTTGTCTTACCATTTTCTTTTCTGTATCCTCTGCTGCTTCTGGGTTAGCCTGGAGAGTAGTATCCATATCTTCACCACCTTCACACAGGCTTTTACCCTTGCACAGATCATATATGTGCTGCATTCTTTTCTTAGGTTGGTTGTGAGATTTGGATATGATTTCTTTCACTTTTGGGTCATTCTAGAGAGAAAAATGTGTTAACTTTATTAATTGTAAATGTCATTAGGAATTAAAAGTGAAAAGAATGGAATAAACCTATTTTGTAACCAAATAATAATAATTTTATTTTTATATTAAATAATTCATTATATTATTTTATTTATTATTATTCATTTTTGTACAGTGTGATAAAGCCCTGAATATAAATCATATCAGTGAATTGATGCCATGTCAGTTCACGTTGATATGGAAATTGTAAATTTTGTTTTATTGACCCCTAGTTTGAAACCAAACATATCAAGTTTTTCATATCATATTGCTCACTCGCTCGTTCATGATATGATATAAAAACTCATGAACAAAAATGATATAAAGCTCCTAACATGTGATAATCTATATTTATTAAACTTTTTATATAACCTTTATATAAGTGCCAATAGTACATTTAAAAACACATTCACTTCAACATTTCATTTGGCACTCATTAGGGCTCAAAATTAGCAAACATCTTAAGTTCTGTCCTAATGCAAAGTTTTTGAGCATAAGAAATTCAAAATTGTGTGGCCTACCCCTCGTTTTTACCCTCTCCCCCCTCCTACTTATGACCGGTCCTTATATTTCATATTAACCTTTTTTTTWWAAAAAAAATCATTAAAAAACAATTTCCTACAGGTATTTTAGATAGAAATTTTATACAGTGACATCAAGAAACATTAGTTTTTGATCTTTAGCCTTGGTTTCATATTGAACAGGTGGTACATGACTGTAACTGGTAGAATTGGGGATATTTAAGATAATAAAAAAATTAACTGGTACGATAAATTGATCAATTAAAAACTAAGTGCCCAAAAAACATACACACATATCTAAATTGATCAGAGACAGCCCTATCCCCCCCCCCCTCCCCCAAAACAAAAAGAAAAAGAAAAAAAAGATACCAGCCGCCTTACCCCCTCCCCCATAGCCATTTTTGCAAGGTCATGCGCAATCGTATCATGAGGTAAGTACTGAGAACTGCAGGAAGAACACAGAAAAGAACACTAAAATTTTAAACATTTACCGCGTCTACAAGCAACTTGGAGCAGTAAAAACACACACAGCGGAGTATCTTGACACTTGTCGACAAGAATCCAACGTGAAATACGGGTTTTGCCAACTCTATGTGGCCGAAATGACCGGGACACTCTGTCATGTTTCCAGCACATGTCTGACATCGAGAGAAACGGTCGATCGTTCCTTGTCTTGGATCCATGAGTCCATTCAGCTTAGGACGACCCCCTTCCATGGTTTCGGCGTATTTAACCCCTCCATCGGTAGTCACAGACATTTGTTTCTATAAGAAAGACTTTATTAGACATGCCGATCTTTAGCAATTCGACTTTTTAAGACTTCATGTTTGAGACACGGTAAAGAACGATATGTTCCTACGTATCGTCTCAAAGAACTTTCCTTTTTCAACTCATTATTTTGACTAGGACAAACTGTATCTTACTTACTATTTCGTCTGGACCAAAGATACCAAACTGGCATCTTTTGACGTCTTTAAGCGGAGCTGGCGATCCCGAAACTAGAGCCATTTTGGTCTAATATCTGCTAAGCAAAATGGCGGATGAGGTAATTGCGTTGACGATCTTTTGAAAATAGTTTTTTCGGTAGAAATCTTCGTCTGCAACCTCTTATTATTCGCTCAAAACATTACTTAACTTAATTGGCTTGTTTGTTTATACTTATTTGTTAGTTTTCAGTAGTTGTTCCGCAGTTAGTGAGAGAACTCAACACGTTTTCCCACCTCACCCGGAGTGAAAGAAACGCTTTGCTCGCGTTTCTTGAAGTCTCGCCGATTTATCGCGTGGTTTATATAGGAAAACCATGATCTGTGGGGTGGACCAATTTAAACACATGGGCGGTAAAAGGAATTGTGGGTAATTTATTCAAAAGTTACACATGGAATGGTCGACAGGACTTCGGAACAAGCCGGAACACGCATTAGGTTTTTTAAAGTATCAGAAAAAGCTTAATTCATTTTTTTGAGCTGAAAATTATCAGCAGAAAATTATATTTTTTTCCACTAGAAATATGAACAAATCTAATTTTTATTTTCAAATTTTTTTTCTAGAAATGTGCAAAATATTTTTTTAAAAGTTTTACACATTTATTTTGTAAAGCTGTTAAATCTTTAAGCCTTCCCAATTATGAGGAAAAACAACAACAAAAAAGCTGAAACTTCAATGGAATAATCTTTAAGGGCCTAATAATCACTGGTTAAAGTTTTTTTCTTTATATTCCAATGGGAAGATAAATTTATATTTTTATGAATTTCTATAGATGTCTGTGATGTCATACACAACACTATACATTGCTCCATACATTTCTTTGTAAGTAACTCGTTTTACATGCATGTTTTACTTTATTTGTATTAAGCCCAAAGTTGATGAACTGATGAACTTAACGTACATAACTTGTAGTGAGAATCATTTTATGGTAAGTATGTACAGTCCCCCTTTAACAACTAAATTCTGAACAACCACGTCATTGGTTTCTTGATTTAAAAATTTGGTAGGAAAATTATGTCATAATGTGACATACATCATCTAAAAAACCAAAAACATAAGATTAAGAAATGGAAAATGTGTTATACTGGAAATTTTGACTAAGATCAGACAAATCCTCAAAAAGTTTTCTGTAAAATACTGGTAATTTTGTTTACAATAAAAGTATAACGAAATGTTTAAAGTACATGTAGTTATTTGCWCATTTTGTGAAATTTTAAGAGTAAGCCCTTTTCCCCCAACAACATCATTAAACATCAGTTTATAGCTTTCATTGCAAGCATTTCTGGTGAGATCTCAAGGGGGGGGGGGGGGGGCAAGAAGATTGGAGTTGCCTACATGGTATGTTTAGATCATAATTTATATTCCTAGAAGGTTACTTACAGTATTTTAATCAGTTTTGTAATGCATGTGTGAGCATCTCCCTATGTGATATGCACAATATAAGTATTAAATTATTAAATTATAATTATTATTGCCGTATCCCTCCTCTCACAGTGCAGGTTATTTTGACCATGATGTTTGTTTCAAGAATAAATCATTTTTGAATTAGTATAATACTACTGAGTTTATCAAATTATTACAGACTCATTTACTCAGTAGCCCAATCTCAGTATCAGAATATTCACAAATACCAAYAAAGTAATAATGCACAACTTTAACATTAACATAACACTACACAAAACAGAGGCTAACCCTAAGCCACAGAGAAGTACTCAAAACTGAAATATTCTTAGAATCAGTCAACAACCATAATAAAAATCACCATTTATGACCATAACTAGGGAAAGAAAACTGTTTCTATTAAAGTCCAATTAAAAAAAAAAAAAAAGATTTACCAATAATAATTATATTCACCATTAATAGTTTATTTGATATTAAAAATCCACAAATCACAAGCCATAAAGTGATAAACTGGAATGATCAAAATACACATTTGATCTTTCATTGTACATGTTGCTATTAGTACTAATGATCACTGAAAAAATAATACAGATACATTTGGTCTGGATTTTTTAAAACAAATGTGTATCAAAGTCGTATGGAAGTGAAATTGAAAAAATGACCATCAAATATCAGAACTGTTCATTAACAAGCAGATCAGGAAGCATTAAGAATCTATCAGAATCTCTACTTGACCTTGTTGAATATACTTTTGGAGACCTAAAGAGAATTAAAATGGAGAGTTAAACATTGCACAATGAAATTTCTATTTCTATGGAAGTTCCATTCCCTGACTCAGTGTCTCACATATTTGAGTAGAAGAGATAACTAGCTAAAAACTAGTGTGAGCTGCGTCGGTGTTTCTAATAAAACAGTAATGATAAAAGGTTAAGTTTTACACCGTGAAAAGGTGAAAAAATTTACTGACGTTTCGGACTCTAGTCCTTCGTAGGAGGACTAACGAAGGACTATTGTCTGAAACAAAGGACTAGCGTCTGAAGCGTCAGTTTTTTCATCTTTTCACAGTGTAAAATTTACCCTTTTATCATTACATATTTGAGTAGAATTGCTTGTTGGTTCTCTCATGTCTTTGAGATTTTACTTTAGGAATTTTTAATATTTCCTCCCTCTGCAAACATCACTTAATGATGGTTAGTCATTTGTAAGTCACTTGTTAGACACTATTTCTTTCTTTCGTTCTTTCTTTCTTTTTCACAGTCATACTTTGTTCAATATACAATTTTTTCCTAATCTTTGGATAGTATAATTATAAAGTTAACCTTAATGCAATAATAGCAAACTTAAAATATCTCAATTCGAAWCAAATGCTATAATTTTGGAAGACACTAATCATTAATTAACACAAATCTTACTCACACAATGATCTCGGCAATGTAGAAACTCCAATAATTCTTGAGCACAAGTTTCTGTTGTTTTAGATTTGCTGTTTACTCGTTCGGTGCAAGTATCATATTCTGCCTTCAGCTTCACACACTCTGACAATTCTTCACAAGTTTCTCGTATCTTATCCATAGGATCTTCAGTCTCTGGTTCTTCCTCCTCCTCTTCTTCTTCGTTCTGTTCTCCTTCTTCTTGGGCCTCCTCCTCTGGATCAGGGTCGTCGACCTGAGAAAATGACGAAAAAATGTTAGAACTTTCAACCTCAAATTTTGGTCCCAGCGAATGATTTTCTTAAAAACACTACAAGACATCAATAAATAGGTGTTTCAATAATACGGCTATATTAAAATGCGGGTTTAACAACGATTATTTACCGTTTCTTCGACTAATTCTTCATCTCTGACTTCGTTTTCATTGCCGACCGCCATCTTGTCTTCCACGCGAGAGATTGAACCGGTTGCCCCAGACTCCACACRGCCAAAAATGCCGCTGACCTTATTGCATAACATCCTAAAACACAGGGTGACCAACTGTATGCGATAAATCTAACTCGATTTTGCGACAAAATAACAAATTACATTTTGAGGTTTAGTTATAAATGTCAATCCATATGTACGTCACGGTCATATCGAATGTTTTACCAGGAAATTAAAGKAAATGTTGTTTGATTACTTACATTTATCTAAACTGGGCTTGTTGTGGTAAATCAAAGTGGACTTTGGACTTTGATTGGTCGTGATGGGCTGGTACTACATCGTTTGTTGACGTATCATCAGTTCCATCGCATGTGTTGACCTTCATCACAAATTATCCCAGAAAATCGTACCAAAAAAACACTTTTATTATGCTCAGATCAAGATATTCTATAATTTCAAGGGTTCCCTATTTAACGAGAAGTGTTGTAAGCGTGGTTCGGTCGCCAAAGAGGTAAGAAATAAAGCTTTCGTGATGCGATCAGATGGCAGTTTCATCGGCATGCATGTCACACAYGAGATACTACGTTACTTAGCCTCTGAAATGTTTATTAAAACATATAAATCAGAATAGAGTGTCTTATATTATTTCTTACTGAATATAAGAATTATCGACACAGAACGTATCGGTTATTCTTCCTTTGAGGTTATAATATAATGGCGGAAATGCTAAATTTTTGTTATGCAACAACAACTAAGTACTGTATTTTTTTAGACACGTCAAAACCTAGTAAAACTCGAGTTCAATAGAGTATTTATAAAAAGTGCTTCATAAAACACTTCATAAGAAACTACTGCTGGCGGGATTTCTTTATCAGCATTTACTTGTACTAAAATGTTCAATAAAGCTGCCTTTTGATACCACAAGTCATAAAACTTTGTAGCTTGGTTTCAAAGTCCAATTTGAAGGATCTAACTCTTTGAATCTYCTTATCTTTTAATTCTATAAGTAAAATAAGAAACCAAAGCTTACCATACTATCAGTTTAACGTATATATTGATGGGTTTTAATCCTTTACACAATAATTTCCAGGTTTGATGTAGCTTATCCTGTAATCACAGGTGTACAAAGACAATATGCAACACAAACAAAGGTCAGTTAGCTATAATATATATTTTTTAAATTCTGAAATTTAGGTACGTTATTGCAGTTTTCGATATTCTACGGACTCTCATTTCAACAGCTTGTTGTGAAATTGTTTTTTAACTGCCGCCAGTCAAGAACATGAAAGGTACCAACTGATTGTTTTTTAATGATAACATCAAAAAAAAAAACTTCAGCAAGCAGCTTGTAACTACTGAGTTCACAGAATATGGAAAATCACAGTATTTAATGTTAAAGCATCAACCCTCACCATATTTCCTGCCCCCTTCCCCTCCACCTATCATGTGCCACCATTTATGAGTAAGGTAATGTGGTTTGATCCCATTTTGACAAAACAAGGGCTTTCCTCTTAGTCAAAAACCAGTTCTAAAAATGTAATTTTTCAATAACCTTGTTTTTCACAGGGGATAAGAAATACATCTTTAACAAGATAATTAAATAATCATATGATTTACAAAATCAATTGCATTTTAGAATCAAGAATCCAAATCCTTTGCAATGGCTTTGTTCAAAGGGCAKCTTGAAGCAGAGCAAGTATTCCCATTTCCACAAGGTATGTACTAGTACAATGAACAGGATTAGTTGTCTTCAGTTTAATTATGATTCAAGTTCAATTTAATTTTTTCAAGTGATTAGTGAGTGATTGGGTAAGGGGTCAAATGTGTCTTCAAGCTTCCAAGTAAAACAATTCACAGTGAGCATATATGCTTTGAACGTCATTTTATACTAAGTATAAGTATGTTTCGTTCTATTTTACAAAAAAATAATAAAGAAGCTGTAACAAATTAATTTTGTTAGCTACCACTATATAGTTCAGTGTTACTTTGTTGTTTACAGTGCTTGATGCTGATCAAGAAGAAACTCTAAAAGCCCTCGTCGATCCTGTACAAAGGTTTTTCGAGGTTAGTATGGTGCATGTGAAGCAATATTATTGTCAGCTATATATTGCTTGACGTCATTTTGGAATGTTCATTAGTAAGCTATAGCTGAATCACAAGTTTTCACATTGAATATGTAATTATTTCTGGCTGACAGCATAGATTTACAGTCACCATGGCCACTCGTCATGTAGCCCCCAACCATCTAGCCCCCTACCATCTAGCCCCCTATATAACATATTTTTTCATTAATGTCCTGTTTGAATAAATATTAAAATTCAGTGTTTTCATTTCCAGGAAGTCAATGACGCTGCCAAAAATGATGAGCAGGAAGCAGTCAGTGATGATGTCATGCAAAGTTTGAAAGAAATGGGTGCTTTTGGGTTACAGGTTGGTTCTAGTCACATGCTTAAATTATTATATTAYCTTATATTATCTGTAAAAATTTCCAGTAAGTTTGTTGATTAACCCCAATCACTCTAAGTTAGCCTTGGCATGACTTAGATTTCCTTAGAGGTTTTGCACTAAATTCTCAATCACATGTACAACATTGAACCATTATTTGCCATCATGACAAAATAGGTTCTTGGTCGATGTCAATTAAAGTGTTTTAGGCACATGCCTATGGAATGTCTTGGAAATTAAAGAAATTGATTAAAACATCCACCAATACCTACTTAATCAAGGACAATGATTTTACAGGTGCTATACAGAGAAGCACTGTCAGTAAAGCTTCAATTAAAGTAATATGTCTTTTGAATTCATTTTTATTTCAGGTTCCCACAGATTTAGGAGGTATAGGGCTGACTAACACCCAGGTAAAACATACATAAACCATCAAGAAAAGATGATTGAACACTTTCTCTCATTCATTTCTCCTATCCATTTAGTGTTGTGTGGTGTCAATAGTGTAGTACATGTGTACAGGGGCTGCAGAGCACCCTAAAAAGTGTGAGGGGGAGGGGGGGGGGGAGAATATAAGAAACAAGTATGGCTAAAAGGAAAAAGTAGAGGGGAAGAAGCTCCCCTGCCTCACACCCTCTGGTATGAGGCCCCCGGTGGATTGAACCTCAGGATTGATGGTTAAAATACATATTTTCAAAAAWATTTTTTCATACGTCCTTGATATCACTCAACTGTCAGCATTGCTAAAATARCGATCTTGTGATGTGACATTCAAATCATCAGAAATCAACCAAGTCACATGAACTATATTTGGAGCTCTTTAAATGGTCACATGAGTTAACGACTAAAATTCAAAATGCAATCAATTCTTGTTTTGGTRTTGTTAACTCAGTTGAGTGAAATTATTAATAGTAATTTTTGCATATTTTGTTCATTGTCTGCATTTATGTGTTTCTTATATTGTATTTCATGTTTCCATCATGTATTATATAAGATTTGTTATACTTCGATCCAATCATCATTAATTCATGCTTTGTTTCAGTATGCAAGACTGGTAGAGATAGTAGGTTCCTTTGATCTTGCTGTAGGGATTGTCCTTGGGGCTCATCAGTCTATTGGTTTTAAAGGAATCCTTCTGTTTGGAAACAAGGTAGCTTTTCTTTAATACTTCTAGATGACCATAAAATTTGATTGATGCTGTGGAATTCACCCTTCTCACAGTAGCGTGGCATTATAAGATATTTGATAAAAGGATATTGCAAAGAGGAGTTTACACTGATTAAATGTGTCACATTGATAGTAAATTTGCAAAGTTTTGTAAAGATTACCCATAAGCTGATAAAAAAATGCCCATAAACTGATACAAAATGTTTCTATGATTTCATCTGCTAAGGATTTGTCGCTATTTACTGGTGCACAATTTTCACAACCATTGTGTTTCTTATGGAGTCACATTTATGATTTAAATTGTTGTTTTATTTTTACATTTTTAGGAACAAAAGGAAAAGTATTTGCCTCAGGTAAGAGTGTTGTCTGTGTTGATTGTGTAATTCCTCAATTTACACTATTGGACTGGTTTATTCCTAATGTTCAGTGAGCATACAGTATCTTAAGTGTTATCATTGTCTCTTTCAGGTATCAGTTGCCAGTAAATATGCAGCTTTTTGTTTGACAGAACCTTCAAGTGGGTCAGATGCAGCTGTAAGTACATTTTAGTTTACAATATTTACAATTAAGGCATGCCTTTCTTAGGGAGTAGTCAATATGAGGGCTGATGCAAATAGGGGTAACTTCATTTGTGTACAGGGAAAAAAGGGCAGCTTTGAACTATTTATACATGTAATGTACAGTGGTATAATGTTTGTAACCCTTCTTTATGCATAGCAGGGCTAATGCCTATACTCCTTGTAAATAACTACCATTCCTAACTGTTCTATTCGTGAAATTCGATGATTTTCTGATTTTTTCAAAATAATGTCAATAAACAAAGGACAATATTTGAAAAACACTCAAAATGTATTATTCTAAATATTTTCTCCTTGTTTGACAGTCTATCAAAACTCGAGCTGAGCTGAGTAAAGATGGGAAGCACTATATACTGAATGGTGGAAAATTATGGTAAGATCACAGGCAACCCATCTTCATTCTAGTCATGATAAGGAGAGTTATCAAACTCATGAGAATAATGCTTTCTGTATAATCAAACTGTATCTGCATGCATCCGAACACAATCTGTTGATTAGGTTAGCCTGTGTATCAGCAACAGATTTCTTGTTCTAGACTGTAGCTACCCTTTGTGTATTCACAAGTTGAAAATCAAACATGTACTTAAGAAATAGAAAACCCATGGGCATACTGTGTGTTGTTATAAAGCATGCATGGTTTTGCAGAACACAAGAAGTGCAGCATATGTACCGAGTGGTTCTCAATACTTCTCAAGTGTTCTGCCAATCTCCAAGTGTAAAGTTATAGTATTACTGTAGAACTCTATTTCCAACATGATCCTTTTCTTTATGAAAATCACTTTTTCTTGTTTAGGATAAGTAATGGAGGAATTGCAGACATATTTACTGTTTTTGCCAAGGTAGGATTACCCATTTTGTATTCCATAATTTATGTCACATTTTGAAATCTTCACATCAATGAGGTGCAAAATGTTTTGGTTTTTTCATGGATCCATCCATCCATTTTTTCATTCTTTCTATCGATCTGGGCCTGGTTGTACGAAGCCTGGATAGCGCTATCCAGTGGATAAATCCTTATCCAGTGGATAAGTCGATGCTGTTATCCAATAAATTTATCCACTGGATAAGATTTATTCATCAGATAGTGCTATCTCCAGCTATGTACAACCTGGCCCTGTTTCTTTGTTTGTTCATATAACATATTCAGATCTCATAAAAAGGATCTTGAATAATATTTATTATGTTGAATGCAGTTTGTTTATAGTTTGTTGCAAGACTGAAACTAAATAAATAATGTATAAAATGTATGTTTTTTATTGCCAGACTCCTTTTAAAGATCCAAAGACAGGAGAGACAAAGGACAAAGTTACAGCTTTTATTGTGGAGCGAGATTTTGGTGGAGTAACAAGGTATAATTTATAAAGTAGGACTTCTGTTATGCAGCCACTGTTTACGGTAGGTGGCTGTTATCAAACTCCAGTTGGGTATATCTAATCTGTCAAACATTAGAGAGGATTGAGCCTTGTTGGACTCGCTGCCACACTCATATAGTGGTTAATTTGTATAACCACTGCCCCAATGTGATTGGATAGTGGTAAGTCATATCTTACCAACAAAAAGTGGGGAAACCAGAACAAATAGAGCACTTTACCTTGGGTGTAATGTTTTCCCATTTCAGATCATTTGTCATTCACTTGGTAAAAAAATGTCTGTACTAATATGTACCATATTCATGTGTCTTATCATGTTATGCACAACCATTAAACAAATAAATTATACTCTACTGCCTAGCAAATGACACATGATCTGAAATGGGAAGACATTGCATCCAAGATAATTAGGTATATTTTGTATTGATAGTGAACTACATGTAACTTGAATAATTATTATTTAGTGGGCCACCTGAGAAGAAAATGGGCATCAAGGCATCCAACACCGCTGAGGTGAGACTAGAGTTAATACAATATGAAAATCTTTTAGTTCTCAGTTGTCCTTCCAATTTTATTGATATCACAGTCAGGGCACTGCTAACTAACAGATCAAATTGGAATTTAGCTTGCTAGTTTTCGTGGAGGAAGGAATGAAAACCAGAGAAACCATAGAATCTAGAGAATCCCTCAAATCAAGTAAATATATAAATAAATCACTTTTATTTAAGTGTCTAGTCRTTCTAGCGCTTTCGCACTARTTGGGGACACTTTTCGCTCACATGCACTACCACTACATTTAATATTCTATGCACACAACGCTCAAATCACGTGTTGATTYTTATGAAAGGGAGGAAACCGGAGAACCCGGAGAAAACCCTCATAGCATAGGGGAGAGCCCTACTCGCATATGATGTTGAGTCCCGGAATCAAACCCGAAACCCCACGTAGTTGATAGGTGAATGAATTATCTCCTGCTATGACAACCTTGATCCCACAGTGGATTTCATGGAGTAGTGATACTTTAACCTATTATATTACCCTTTAACCTGCTTTGCTCTTTCGTAGGTCTACTTTGATAACGTCAAAGTCCCAATAGAAAACGTTCTTGGAGGTTTGTGCAACATTCTTAGAGCCTTTTTGAGTCTTTCAGTTTTTCTAATTATTTTAATACAATATACTCTATATTTATTATCATTATTATTATTACAGGCGATGGAAATGGCTTCAAAGTTGCCATGAATATCTTGAACAACGGTAGATTTGGTATGGCTGCTGCTCTCTCTGGAACAATGAAGGGTCTCATTGCTAAAGCGGTAAGCTTGTTTGTAAATATATTGCAGGTCTAAAATCAATGATGTAGACACTGAGTAGAATACACTTTACTTGATAGACCTTATTAGCGATAATGATGAAAAAGCGGTTTTCTAAAGAGTGGGAAACAGTAACGGCAGATTCGTAGCTGTACTGTAGACGTACCGCATCTTTCCGTAACCGTAACTACTTTACGCGTTGTTATTGGACGAATTACTCGAAGACAATAGGAAGCCATTTAATTGTAACGAAATGCCTTATAGTGTACGTGTTGTAAATCAGTGCCGTACGTTCCCTACTCATGATAACCGCTCTATATAAAGGTGCAGTAATACGGGCTACAAAATCGTGCTACTTGTCTTGCAACATTGCACAGGTTGCCACTCTTATAACCACTCCTTTCTACCACCTCTTTCTCTTTTACTCCGACGAAGGACTAGCGTCCGAAACGTCAGTCTTTTCACGTCATCTTTTCACGGTGTGAAAGTTGACCTTTTTATCATTACTGTTTCATTAGAAACACCGACGCAGCTCACACTAGTTTTTAGCTAGTTATCTCTTCTTATTACACGAAGAAGAAACTGTCGAATCTGTCTTCTCTTTGCAATAAAGGAAATTTCTTGTGTGCGATGTGGTAAGACGATCAGGATATTATATATTCTGCGACTTGCAACGCAAAAAAGTTGCACGACAGTTTGCATGATTTTGTAGCAACAATTATTAAGATGACGTCAGTCTTCAAATCCTCAATCATATCGAAACAACCTGAAATAACCTACTTACAGACTTGGTATTCCTACCTCCGTGTTGGCGTAGGTAGCTAGGAATACTGAGAAACCCGGAGAAACCCCCGCGGTGTAGTGCGCAATTTAGCGTAATTTAGCTATCAATCATTCTAGATATTAATGTGTTGATCAATTCTATCGTAACAGGTGGATCACGCTGCAAATCGAACCCAGTTTGGGGAAAAGATCGATCATTTTGGTGCCATTCAGGAAAAGATAGCTCGTATGGCAATGTGTCATTACGTCACAGAGGTAACCAACCCGCAAAAACTTTTGTTTCTCAATCTCATTTAATCTTTTTTATTCATATGTTTTTTTATTTTTTTCCCCCTCAAGTCCATGGCTTATATGATCAGTGCCAATATGGATCAAGGGGCTTCAGATTTTCAGGTCGAGGCAGCAATCAGCAAAGTCTACGCATCGGTGTGTATGATACATGTTTAACTAATCTTTTTTTCTAGATTGGCCTTACTCACRCGGCAGCCATGATAACTGGAACAATAGATTTTCCCACGCGTATACTCGCATTCAATAGACTTGCCACAAGTCGACTAMTTTTTTTGTCGAGCAAAACGAGTCATACGAAAGATACCAAAAGAAGAAATATCGGACTTTTAGAAAGTCTACGCATTCAAGTGCTTGAGAATAAATTTATGCAGGTTAAAAAAGGCTTTCATTGCTTGGTTTCAATCAGCCAATAAAATTCTTTGAACCTCATTATCTGCTCAAAATGGTGGTCAAACACTGACCACCATGTGCTGTCAGCCAGAAAGAATTCTATTGAAAACTAGCGATTCAGCTGAGCACATTCTGCTCGAGACAGGAACTGACGTCACGTTAGATCAAGCAGTTCTCATAGACAGACATGGCTGCCGCGTGAGTAGCTACTACTCACACAGCATTGCTCCCTTCTCTACCTCCATCCATCCAAAATTGCGCTTTGATTAATAGTGTGGAATAAACTTTTCTCCGAAAGCATAATCAGTAAMACTTCCTTACGTGTTTGTGTATGGCTGACTTAGAGGGCCGGGTTGTCGTGTTTGCTTTGATTTCAAGCAGTTCACATCATTATCATAGTCAGTTTTTCCTGGACAAAGTATGTCGGTTTTCAGATCGTCAGAACGTCATAATGGAGGAAAAGCGCGTGCTAATCGGTATCGGTACCACGATACCAATTAAACCAAATAAAAATAGCAAAAACGTAAACGCAGTGAGTCGCATACTTTTCTTTTCATTCTTGCATCCGAATATTTATCAACCCACTCGTTCATGCAATCAATTCTCCATCCTATTCGTTTATTTATTCTACTTATTTGTTGTTGTCTTTGGTTGGTTCTTTTAGGAGGCAGCCTGGTTTGTTGCTGATGAATGTATCCAGATCTTAGGTGGAATGGGCTTTATGAAGGTAACATCCCTGTTATATTTCATACTCTCATTTAATGTTTTCCATTAACAGCTTCGCCGTCTTCTTTCAGGATTGCGGAGTCGAACGAGTGATGAGAGATCTACGCATATTTCGAATTTTCGAAGGAACCAATGATATCCTGAGGTTGATGGTGTCTCTTACAGGACTACAGGTACGGTCTTGGCTTTGTAAAGTAGTGTATGGGCTCGTACACACGGCGCAGTTTTCGCGTGCATCGTTTCTTGCGACAGAGATTTTGAGAACTATCATGTAGAAACCTCTACTGCAGCAAAACTGAAGAAATAGAAAACGCGCGCGCCTGCTGTGTGCTCTCATAAAGGAAACCTTCCACACGCAATACTACAGCGTTGGGAAAGGAAACCAGACTTGTCCCTAGCATTTAAGTCGGCTTATATACATATAAGCTTATAGATGTCCTGGAAAGACTATGGTGGGAAACATGGTGGGAACCATTCATAATAATCTGTGAACTTTTTTGCGATACTAGGGAGCTGGAAAACATCTCAAAGAACTACAAAAAGCCTTGACGAACCCCGCAAATGTAGGCTTGTTGCTTTCTGAAGGAATCAAGAGATCAAAAAGGTACTTTGTCTTTACTGCTGCAATACATCCTTATATCGAGATTGCGAACCAATCAAAACGAAAGAATTGGAGACTTGCACTAAAAGGTCACGTGACCTATGTTCTTAGGAGTGTCAAAAATCACAGAAAGTGAAAGAGAACCTCGAAATTATTACTCAAAGAAGGTGAAGTTTCAGGATCATCTTGAATGTAAAGAATAGGAAAAGAACATAATATAAAATCGAATATTTGGCCATCTTGCCAGGGGACAAAAGAAAACAAAAATGACAAAAAATATATAGCGCTCCGCGTGTTTGTCTTTCTTTTATGGGTAAAGGTGACCAGTTATCTGTATTTTGCTCCCTGGACGCCCCATGTCTTGCGATCCAAGATGGCCACCGGATCGTCGAAGTAGACCATTCCCTCGCTCACTGAATTTGAAAGTGACATATATATTTTTGAAAATATGAAAATCCCATTCTTATTCTTACAATTTTTTAGCCCAAAATAATAGTTTTTCTTTCCTTCGTTTTTAAAATTTAAATATACATGGTTGACAGTGGTTGCTTTTGCGATRTTTAGGGTGGTTGGTCTAAAGTCTGGTCCATCAATAACTGAACATGTCCACAGTGAGCTACAACCATCAGCTGAAAAGGTTTGTCAGTATAATAAGTTCAGGGTTTTCAACTTTAATAATTATTAAAGGTGTTTTGTGCTTGGTATGATCGTTTAAGATGTAATCCACATTTTTTYGTATTTGTTCAAGTATGCATTGTTTGTTTAAATCAGATTTGTTTTCACAGGTTTCTGTAGCTATCGGTGAATTTGGAGCCTCTGTTGAGGGAATTCTTAGAAAACATGGCAAGAAGATTGTTGGTGAGAAATGCTTTCTATTAACGAATACATAAGAAATCTAGTCAATCTAATCTTTCGATGGGATCCAACATAAATTGTACGATTTCGACGTAAATATCAAAATGATGCCACGTTTCAATCGAATGGCTGCATTCGCATCAACCAGCTGCATTAACCCGATGGTGCGGGTCAAACACTGACAACCACGCGCTCGAAACTTGTGATTCAGCTGATGAACATTTTGCACAAGACAGGAATTGACGTCTAGACAAGCCAAACATTTCTTTGGGGTATCCAATTCGTAACTTCCTTGATACTTGAACCCTTTAGGCACAGGAAACAAGATCCATGATTTTTATTATTTCATTATTATTTAGCTAAGTGTCTTTTTTTTTATCTCGTAACAGAACAACAGTTCTTGCTGAAGAGACTTGCTGATGCAGCAATAGATCTGTATGGGATGGTAGCTGTCTTATCAAGGTGCGACATATTTCTTCCTTCTTGTATTTAAACATCTTTTCGAAGCGTTTCTTGACGTTATCGTTCTTTTTACAGAGCATCCAGATCACTTCAAAATAATTTACAATCTGCACAACACGAGAAACTTTTGTGTACAACGTTCTGTGATGAGGTTAGTCTTATGTATAATAGTAAATGCTATGGCCCTTGCATCTTTTCTTGCAATTTGGTTTGCAAGTCAAAGGGGGAAGTCACACTAGAAATAGAGTAGTTTCATAAAAATGTTATCCTTAGAGGAAGTATGTTTTTTATTGGGGGGGGGGGGGGGGGGGGGGGGCGGGGAGATTCTCGATAAACTTTTTAAAAGTGGCCGAAGCCCTTCAGAATTCACTCAGTAAGAAATTCGTGAACCTCCTAAATAAATAAAAAAATGGACCTACCAATCCACAAAAGTTCGAATGTTCAGTGCTGATGTCCCTCTTCTCTGAAAGCCCAGCCCTCCCCCATCCATTAAGAAACGTAGCTTCCCTTAGAAAAATGAAATCTCTTGTCATGCAAAATCATTGCACTGTTCCTGCCCTTCAATATATCTGCCGTGAAACCACTCTATTGTTGTCGTTACTGTGAAAAGTAGAACTTTGCTTTTGCAGAGATTACGGTAGCTAAGAGTAAATCAGATTAAGATATATATATATATATGCGTCAAGATGGTTGCTGTGGTTACTAACCATGTAAAATATTGCACGTATTGAAATTAGAAAAAATTATGCTGCTACTATGATTACAAAACAATCGATGTATTTATAACCTATATGTACATTATGTACAGCCAAATAAAAAAGGTCCTTATAAAATAGGATACTTTCATGTTCATGCTTGACTATATCACCCTATCCCATCCCTGGTGTTACATTCCTACTATAAGCAATAAAGTGAACCTAGAGAAGGAGATACTCTGATGATAAATGGATGGAAAAGCGTTTCACTTCATTCTGATTAAATATCGTTCTTCCTCAGGCATATCAGCGCGTCCTTCAAAACCTACAGTCTCTACAAGATAATACTCAACTCAGCATGGATGAAAGAATGGCTCAAATATCAGCACAGGTTGTTGAACAACAACATATTGTACCAGTACACCCACTTGGATTCTAAATTATCAAATCTTATTTTTTATTAAGAGTATTTATCCGTTTTTTTTTTTATTACCGCTGTAATCCTATCACTTTGCTAAAATCAGTCTTCATTTCTCACGGACTCAATAATATGAATTTCTAATATTCTGTTCCTACATCGTTAGGCTAAGAGTGAATCAGATTAAGATATATTTATGAGCCGTATAGGATAGTTCATGCGGCTACTAACGATGTAAAATATTGCACGTATTGAAATTAGAATAATGCTGGTACTATAATTACAAAACAATCGTTGTATTTATAACTTATGTACATTATGTACAGTCAAATAAAATGAAGTTCTTATAAAATCGGATATTTTCATGCCTGTTCAGGACTCTTGTTTATGAAGGAATTCTGCAGATTGACTCATATTGGATGCTCTTTCACGCATTTTCTTACTTTCCTTTCATTTTCTGTTTGTTCATTTTTCATTTCCATTCCTAAACGTTTCTTTTGTGCTATCATACTCTCTTCTGCAAGTAAAGATGGTACAATAAATCAGCTTATGAATATCTATTCAGTTGAAGGGCTTTGCAGCAGCCGCGTTTAAGAGAGTAAACGTTTTTTTTTTGCATAGCGAGATCTTTTCGATTTATCAAAGGAATAAAATATGTATTGATTGTACAGTAAAAACCCGCGAGTAAGAACCTACATTTTTAGAGTTAGCCTAAACAGATTCTTGATTAAATGGTAGTTAACACAATTTTAGGCTATCCTAGGTTCTTAAATAGGTTCTTATTTCTGTGTAAAAACAAATAAAATCCAGCTACAAGATAAAATGGTAATCAGCCTATTTTTCAATCAACCCCACCCCTCCCCCATCAACAACACCCTAGAACATTAATAGATTTATCTGCACAGCAATGGCAAGCTCCTATTTTTCCAAACAGGATTCTAACCCAGCTCTGCATAACTAAATGATGATTTTTGAAAATAAGAACCTGTTTTTCATTTTCTAGGCTAAATAGGTTCTTGTTTAAATGGGGGTATAAATGACAAATTTGAGGCTAACAGGTTCTTAATTTTCTGGCTCTTACTCGCGGGTTTTTACTGTATATGTTTTGATAACGAGGCCGCCGTGAATATTGCTATGATGGTGCAATATGACACGTGTTTGTTACTGGATAGGAAAGAAATTTGGACTACYTTTATTTAATTTTATTTWTTTATTTTTTTATTTTTGGAGGATTACTAATGTCGTATCCAAAACCTTTTCAAACATATTTTTTCCCTTACTTTCGATTTTAAGATACGAAGCAGTTTAAAATTTGTTTGCCATCCAGCAGGGCGTTTCCCAAGGGGCCTAGAGCTGAATTGATTCGTTATTTAAGTCATTTATCAACACGTGACTGTTTGCAAAATGCCTATTAATAGATCTGCGTGTCACCAAATTAAAAGAGCTTTCTATATTGCTTTAGGCCTACCTTTCCCGGTTTTCCTTTCTTTCCTTTCTTCCCCTTCTTCTTTAATCCAGCTCCAAGTTTCATGATGGTGGAGAAAGTTATGCTGTTCATGCGATGTGTGACACTTATTTTCATGGAATTTAAACCAGCTGTGAAATGAAAATAACTCCTCAGCCAATGACATTTATCAAATTTGATTCAGCGATATGATAAATGATGGTGCCTATGATGAAGGCGGTGATGATGATGACGATGTGATGGTGGTGATGATGATGCTGCTGAAGATAATGATAATGATGCTGCTATTGATGACATGATGTCAAAATGATGATGATGACGATGTGATGGTGGTGATGATGATGCTGCTGAAGATAATGATAATGATGCTGCTGGTAGTGATGATGACGGATGACCACTGCTGCTTATGACGGTGACGAATGTTGAAAATGATGATGATTACAATGAGGACGACGATGATGAGCACTGCTTACGACGATAACGAATGTTGAAAATAATGAAGATGATGACGACAATGATGCCGATGATTACGATGACAATGACAATGGTGCTGCTGATGATGATGATGTTGATGATGCTGTTGATATTTATGATATTTATAGTTTGTGATTGCGCCTAAATAATAGCTCAATCTCAATACACTAAACTGCTGTAAGTCACAACAAAACACTGCGACTAACTAACTAGCTAAATCCGAATCGAATTTCTTGACTTACCTTCTTTTCTGTTCATCAAAGCCTCCAAGATCTCCCTTCCTCCAAGATCTCCAATAAGATTATCATCAATATCTATTTCTTGAAGGCCTTCGGAGTGAGTGATCAAACTAGAAGGAATTGAATCAGTATAAGACATCTACAAAGTTGCCCTTGTTCTACAGTCTCATAAAACAGGCATTTTCATGACTATGGAACGGCACGCCAGGAGAAAACGTCGTTGTAAACTGCTCCTGGAGTATTGAGCCTGGCAGTGTTTTAGAGCATCCGACTAGTATCCGGAAGGCCATGGATTCTATCCTTATCGAGGCCTCTGTCCTTTTTCTATGTTCATTCTAGCTAGCGGTCAAATGGACCCCTTTCAAAAGTGTCTTGTATGCGAGGCTAACATAGAAATACAAAAGAAATACCATAAAATCCATCGAGAAAAGTGTGCTTTCTTTAGTATTTTCATGTTAACCTCGTATTCAAGTTCTTTTTGAGAAGGGTCCCTTACTTGAATCAATCGCAGCGCGCGAGACCACTGTTTAAAGTAATTGAAAACATCACCGTGACGGGCACGGTACGGCAAGCCACGTCCGTACTTTGAGCTTAATACGCTTATCAATTTGAGCGTACTGAAAARGTTTCCAAAGATTTTTTCAGTTTTGATTTACCTCGGGATCGTACATCCTTGCCAAGAAATGTTGCCAAGGTTGAACAATAATTAAAATTGTCGTAAAAATATTGACTTACAGTAAAGGTATTGACTTACGTTCGAAACATCTTCATGCAGACGATTGGACCCAGAGTCGAGGCACTGCCATATGAATCCATTCCATTATCCAACAGATGGAGCTTCTGAATCCATGGTCCGACGGGGGGAGGGGGTGGTGGCTCTTTCTTCTTTTTGCCACTTTTTTTCTTCTTTCCCTTTTTCCCTTTCTTGCCAGTTCCAGATCGAGCTGATTTGGGACTAGAAATTAAGAAAGCAAAGGCTGATCAGATATCGTCTMAGTAAAAAATCATTGAAACTTTCTTTGAAATCTTCGACAAGAGGTGGAATTCCGGTAAATCCAATAGGTTCATGCTTCGATACATTTTATTATACTGCAAATTTTACAAGCACAGTTTCACCTAAACTACGGCTAAAGAAGTCCATGCTTCACTATTTTCACTGAAGGAAGACAATTATTGTCGTGACTTACAAAAGCGAAAGAGTTTACATCGTCACTGTAGGCGGGAATCGGAATTCGAATTTATGACGTAAAATTGACAGTGCCAAGTTTTTTAAATTCCAAAACGACTTGAATGAATAGGCAAAGCAAGGGGGTTCATAGCAGTCATTCGCGGGGCAGATTAACGAAGAATTAACATTCGAAACGTTATTACAGCTACAAGATTTTTTACAAGGTGTTTTTACACAACTTTCCTTCCTTTAGACTTAATCCGCTATTTTCTCATTTCAGACCACTAGTCATTCCCTAGAGTGTTTTTTTGTTCCACATGAGAAAGCACATGGATATGGATACAACTCAAACAAAGAATCCTATTCAAAAGAGAGTGACACGTGGTCTGAAATGGGCAAAGCATTATGCCCAAGTTGATTTGGTCCATTCATTTGTTAGAGAGAATGGAATAGTTTTGCAGGCGTACCTTGAGCTTCCAGCTTTACTTTTAACAGATGCACCGGATGTGGGTCTTGACATGGATCCCATAGCTGACGATATTGGTAGTCCCAATGTATTCTGGGGTACTAGCTCGCCTGTTTCAGAAATCCCTTGAGTCTTTTCAATTGATTCCATTTCTGCCTTGTCTGCAAATAGCTTTAATAACTCAATGATTCCATCACATCCCAGATGATTGCCATCAAGATAAAGATCCCTTGAAAAAATGAACTAAAGTGTCAACTATATGGAACTGGCTCTGGACAAATTGGTTAACCAGAACATAGCTTATATTACTCACAGATTGAATGGAAATTACAAACATAATAATAATAATGATGATAATGATGATGATGATAATAATAATAATAATAATAATAATAATAA